GGCTCTTTGTTTCCAAGCCGTTTCTTGAACGCAGCCTTCTTCTCTGTAGCTGCCCGTTGCACCTCTCGGTTCACCAATAGGATCTTTCTTGATCTCCAGGCGGCAGACAAACCCTCTCAAATCCACAGCATTCGGCGGTAGTCTCGAGTATGCCACTTTTAAAAAAGTGCCACTCGGTTTCCACATCGGTAGTCATCACTGGGATGCGTTTAAACCGGTCGCGCGACGTTGTTTGCAAATTTTGCTCTCGTATCTACCGAAGATAATATTTCCCATTCGATTCTCCGGTTGCTTCTACCGCCATATCTTCGTGTGGTATTCCATGTCTTACAGCGTATCGTGCCAGTTGCATGGTGTAGATCAAAACTATTTAACATCATTAGTTCAGTTAGTTATTTACGAGGGTTTAGTATTCAGAAGCGCTCTCATCTAGAAATATGATTTAGCGTTTTTGATTCCTTGTGCCTTTTGAGAATCACAGGTAATCTGTTGACTCTTGATGGGGATAGGAAACAGTTCTAATAAAGTGTTTAAATCTTTTGTTTTGCACCCACACTAGTGGCATGATCAAGCCTTAGTTGGCAAGGCACGCAATAACGAAGCGTAAACAAAAACCGTAAACAGTCGGGAACATTAATTTGAGTTATACATAGCGTAATAGAGCGTTTTTTAGCGTCCCAGCTTTTCCCTTTATCATCGCCATGATTCATGTTACACGTTTTAAACAGTATATATAATATATTTACTGAAATTATGTTATTACGTGTGATTTTGAGTAACTTTTCCTATATTTGACTTACTAGTTAAATAACTTCACTGACTGATTTTAGATATTTAACGTTTTATCGAGCAAGAGTGATTATAAGGTTTGTGGCGATTGCCTTCACTCTTCGTTTGCCTTTGTGAAATGTTCATTTCTAGATGGAGCCGCCGCCTTTCACTCCCCTCAAACAGTTTGACGTGCAATCGATAAACCTGAATGAGGTGCCGGGGGATGGTTATGATTTTCTCAAGCATGTGATTGTTGAACGTCTTCATTGTCCGGAAACCGTGGTTACCGACAAGGACTTCAGCCAGTACGATACGAATCAAACCATATGGTGTGACCAATTCTTAGAAAAGTTTCCGCACAGTGACAACGATCGCCGGCTGGTCCCGTCAGAAATCTGGCAGCAGGGAGTTCTG